CATCTGAGACAGAATCAACAATGTTATGACAACAATTACTGAGGAGTGCCAGTGAAATGGAAGAAATCGCTAGCTAAAATAAATGGATCTATCAACGAAAATTTGCAGCTTTGTTGCTTTATTACTTTGATGATACCTACATATTAATGCTAAATCTAGATTTAAATTAATCTATACCTACATAACTACCGTTAAGACAAATCAGCTTTATCAATTAACACTGAAATGTTATGGAAGCTTAAAGTTAAATAAATAGTATGTTGAACTCAGTAAACATAATTATTACTTGAAAAATGAAATATCATAGTCACAGCTAGTAACTACGCACTACAGATCTAGAATTGAAAAGCTATCAAGAAATCATAGTTCTGAAAATTCCAGCAACTTTAATTTGATTCTCATGAAATATGGCCAACAGTGAGGTAAAGGGAAGGAAGCACTCGGGAGTTCAGGATCTTACAAATGAACAAAGAAAATATTGCTGAAGATAAATTAATGCAAATGAGTTTGTATACAGCAACATTTTCCTTTTTCTTTTTTTTTAACAACATTACCAATAGTCTAACTTCTTTCCCTAATTTCTAAAAAAAGAAGAAAAAAAATGGAACCAATTAAGTTGGAAAGGACGTCCAATACGTCGTTTAATAAATCTGTTCATCAACAATTACTTAACCTTCGATGATAATTGTTTTTGGAACTATAATACCTTATAATTACATTTGGATCATCCGATTCCTTACGTACGCATACTTCACGCAGTAATATCCCTCAAAATAATCCTTTTATAAAACTTTTGTCAAAAAAGTAGTAATCTGCTGGAAGTAGTAAGAATGTAAAAAAAGTGTACTTTTAAAGGAAGTTAGCAAAAAATGTTTTGGCAATTGTCAAATAAGTCAATAAAAAAGTACAAGCGAAGAAAAGAGAAAGTACAAGCGTAAAAATTTAGACGAATAAATTTTAGAAAGAATTAGCTAAAAGAGCCGAAATAAATTAATAAGCACATTGCTGATTAAGTTACTGATTTCCAGTTAATTAAGCCACTGGATTCTCCACTTCTTACTGCACAATTATCTCAAAGGTTTGGAATTAGGGAAAGAACAAGAGACATGGAGATTTGGATGAATAGTAATCCGGAATTAAGTATATAATTACTCGAAATGACCTGGAATTCTCAGCTATATAAGGCACATGATTACTGAAAATCTCCTGAACATTGGAACGTAAAGAAAGCGAGTTCTTCCAGCAGTATTTTTCAAACTATTACCTGATGAACACAATTCATATTTTCTAATGTATAAATACTCAACTCCACTTTAATGTTAAATAGGAGAAAAAGGAGTCAAAATGATTGGAAAGGAGTAAAATTGAAATATGAAAATTGAACGAATAGAATCGTATGCATTAAGGCATTTTCAGGGCTATTAAATTAAACGAATGAACACACCACAGCGCACTCGTTAATTATCAAAATCTGCAATTTCCTTCTTTATCGATCTCTCCAGTTTGCTCCAAAATTATTTGCTCAATTTTCAATTTTCCTTGGAAACTATCCAACTGAACGATGGAAAATTAGTATTTACAACAGTAATGCTGCACAAAACTAATAATTCACAAATCTAATAATGCTAATCGTTTTGAACCATACAATCTCTACAAACAGTTCTACCAAAAGAATAATCATATCTTGTTATACTAATCAGAAATCCTACATTGCAAGAATTGATCAATGGATCTAAATTTCTAAAATGTTGGCCAAATATAAAATACGTTTTATTTCGATCAACAGATAGAATTTTTACTGGTAGTTTTGAAGAAGTTTGCATGGAAACAATTTAAGAATTGTAAAATCTGCATTTTGCAACATCCATTTTTTTTCGAAGTTAGAAATGACTCGACAAACTGATGAGATGATATCCTGATTACAGCTGAAAGATGCAGTGTGAAACAATGTATCTATCAAAACATATCTCAAATATCATAATTTTCAAATTGTCTTGCACTAAGTATAAAATAAACTAAACCTGAAAATAAGTTGTTAAATCTCCAAATATGATGTTGGTGTCGAACTGATTAGTTTTCAGAGGAATTAAAATTCATGTAAATATCATGATAATCTCTAAAAATGAACTGTAAAGCTGTGGAAATTCCCCTTCTAGAAAAATATCAAAAAAAGAAGTTTAAATCCCACGAAAAATCCAACTGCTTGAAGAGATTTCTAACAAAAGTTGATGAATCCAACGAAAAAACATCGCTTAGTAATAATAAAGCAATGGAACAACCTACCACTTGACTTTTACTAACAGAAACAATAATTAAGAAAAGAAGCAGAAAATGTTATGTTGTCAAATTATGCTGTTATGGAATGAAACCCGTACCGCGAAAAGCTTCCGAATGGGGACTATTGCAGAGTGACAACGAAACAGGCATTACATTGTTGTGAGGCTTTTGATACGAAAGAATGGAACAATCATTGCAAAGGTGAATGACAATGACAAAAAATGAAAATCTCTAAAGGCCGATACAGTCAATGATTATTTTGAGGTCGGTAAACGCCGTAGACTCTTACTTACAAAATAGGAAGAGGAAAGCAGAGATGGATTCTATTCGGTTGCTGAGGCAAAATGCAGACGCACTAAGCAACATAACACAACGGCCACGACCGACCACTAATATCCACAACCACTGACCACCACAAGCACCATGCCAGTATCTGACCGACCACTCTTATGCTTTTTGAAGGGATGAGCAGAGAGTAATGGTGATGAAATGGGACGGATGGTGGAGTGTTACTAGTAGAGTTGGAGATTCCGGGAGAACAAAAGAGAAGTGAGAGATAAGGAAAAGAAAGAAAAAAAGGACGCAAAATATAGTCTTCAGATGGAATGACGTCTCCGAAGCATCGGTGAGTGATGGACAATGCGGAGAGAAGTCTGGAAGAGAGGAGGAAGGAGCAAACGCCGAAATGAACCCTTAAAGCTAGAAGTGGGCAACAGTGTTCGAAGAATCATTTGATGAGATGCTTTTCTGATTTTGATGAGTAATATTTCTAAGGGAAGCTGTGTATATGCTATATCCCAACAAAGTTGATGAAAAAATTTCAACATTAAACCGAGCCATTTTGACAATTTATAGATCAGTGTATGGAGAACAGATGTGTATGACAGCTAGTGGGTCAGGGGTTAAGCTCCTAAGCTCTTGATAAAAACTAAAGCCTGATAGGACTGCAATCTTTTCCAACATTTGGGGTTGAAAATGACACTTACAGGGCAGGACAATAAACAACTACCTTTACTAGAGCGTTGGTGGCCTTTAAAACTGCAAAGAAATAGAGTGATTTAAAGTACGGTTAATTGAAAGCCATTAGTCAGCCAATCAGTAAGAAGATTGATGAATCAAATCAGCGGCACTGAAAAAATGACGTGTAACTGGGGAAAATCATAATGGCTTCACTGCTTAAACCTTATGAGTCATTTTAACTTCGATTTCAAAAATTTATATAATCATTGATTAAATAATTCTCTAGTAGGTTTGTATAAGCATTAGAGACGAGGCTTGAATTGTACTTGAGGTGAAAATTAGTAGTACTACCCACTAGTCCATTACATATCATTTAAGACCTCCAGACACTCTTGAAGATCTGGATATCCGTGTATATCAAAATACTTGGCTGACAATTCAATCACCCGGAAGAATTGAAAATCGATGTCCAACACGCATCTCATAGCCAACATATACCGATGCTATGCAAATGAAGCCAAACGCAGAACATTACTGTCGTTTGATTTTAATCGAACGCTTCTTTACAAGACTAAAAGATTTAACTAAAATCTTATTTTTTGGCCACTTATCTTGAACACTACATCAAAGTACCTTATTTCCAGTCAGACTTTATCGAATCTGATAATGATTGATGGGTTAAGAACATAAAGATTGATGGACAGTTTACTAAAAAGTGTAAACAAACATAAACAACAAAGCCCGAACAATATATAATACAACCAAAAGGACTTTAAAGCATTTTTATCACTAGAATAAATTTGCAGTTCGCATATCTGGAAACAAATTCAGCCTTTTTAAAATAATTTACTATCTGTTTGATAAGACACTTTCCTGTCAATACTAGTGCGAGCACTTACGGAACAAGTACCACTATCCTCGAATGTTCAACAAACGTAATTTTTTAAAAACACTAACTTCTATCATATTCTAGTACTAAATAAGGTAAAAGTAAAACTAGAGAGAGCTAGATCACTTAACAAATATGTTTTGCTTGAAAACTATGCTCATCGGGAAGAAATTATTCGTGAGCTAAAAAGGTAAGCAATTATATTACTGAATAAAAGAAACCAAAAATGCACGTAAGGCAAATCATGCCACACAAATCATTGCTATATATAAGTGATATAATACTGAACAATATTAAGCAAACAAGTCGATAAAAAGTGAAAGTTTACTAAGTAATGAAGTGAAATAGAGATAACAAAGATATGTGCAAATAAATAAGGATGCCATTCATTTTTCGAGAGAAGTAAGACCATAACATAAAGATGAGTGTAATCAAACAAATTTTTATATCCACTTGAAGATGAAATGCAGAAGGAAAACTAAGTATTCGTATGTTCAACAAACTTATGAAATAGCGATAATTTTCGGAATAATATCAAAAATAACATAAAAATTGAGTTAAAACTTTGTACATATACAATAAGGCAAGTGCAGAGTGTGTATCTTCTTAATCTGGAGGTTTGAAAAATAAAACGGAAAAATTAACATCAACCACAGTTCTCCCTTAGTTTGAAAAGTTAGTTTGAAAACTAAAAAAAAATTCAAAAAAAAGTTAGTTTGAAACTAAAAAAATCAGCAAAAATCGAAAGCTCCTTGCAAAATGACATCATAATCAATTAAGAAAAAAGATACCAGCAAGTAGCGATTGCGAAAATAAATTCGATAAATTCATCAAAAGCAAAATATGCAATAAACTGATGAAATCATAAAGAGAATCATATTGGTAACCAGCTCTTCAATCGTAATCCTTGGTTATCACAAAAATGATCGGTATAGGGTATGCAATTGAAGTACTCGCAATACGTGCAATTGAAAGCAGACGGCCAATAAAACATAGTCAACAGAACGACGAATAAACCAAATACAATGGAAAGTGATGTGATCACAATTATTAGTCGTCGGGCGCGATTATGATGTTTTGTCTGAATATATGGAAGCACAGCTGAAAATATTAATCGTCATGCACAGAATGCGGTTAGTTTTCAGCTAGTATTTGCTCCATCTGACTACAACTGACACAAGTTGTATAATGACCTCCGATTTTAAGAATTATAGCATGTAAATGTGATCCAGCATAACAAAAAGACAGATGCTGAATGTCACTAAACAATGTGTAGACCATGTGGAGAAGCAGAAAACATGGACACATGCAGCTGATTGATGACATCATGTCCCGACACTTCCACATTACGCAGTTTGAAAATTAACACACAACTAGCTTACAGTAAATGTAAAGGCGCTTGTAAATATTTAAGTTTCAGGGCAAATCCGGATAACAGGCTAAGAGGTACCTTTTAATGGTAAAAACAACTTGGAAACAAAAATTTTAGAAAATGTTTGGCAACGTCCAGAAAAAATTTTGCAACGTTTCCAGAATTTTGAAAAAATTCCGCTAGCAAAAAATAATTAGGTAATTTTTGGTGCTGAAAAGTCATGACAAATATAGCACAGTTTTAAGAATTCGTATAGATGAAGTAGTCAAGTTTTTGAAGTTTAAATTAGCTTTAATTCAGTTGTTTAAATCAGTTAACGCACCTAAAGATACCAAAATTCCGAAGATGAAGCCAAAAAAATGCGCCCAATTATCGACCCACGGTAATGTTCCGACAGCAAAAACAGCTACAGTAAATAAGCTCAGCTGCATAATTGCATGCCAAGGTCTTTCCAGGAGATTCCTAAAAACACATTAGTCACATTAGTATCAAAAAGACACAATCGCTCCAACTTTCTTGACTTCAAAATTAAGCTATCTTTTTACGCACCGATGACCATCTAAATTTCATGATCTATAGAAATGGTAAATTTTATGTTTCTATAAGTTATAAAAAAGGAGCTTCTCACCAGCTATAAACCACATCGACATACATCGCAGCAAACATTCCAACATGTGATCCCGCTGGACCAACTTCCGGCTGAAACATTCAATTGCATTTTCTACTTTTGAAAATTTGTAACATATAGATCCCAACATTATAGCACTATCTAACGATTTAGTTTTTTAAAAATGAACAAGCTTTCACTATTAAATTACAGATTAATCATGGAAAATACTACTTACATTTGCTTACCTTATAAGGAACAAAAATTGCACCAGCCAGGTATCCGCCAATGCCGGGAACCATATAAAGAAGTGCTACGCGCGCCCATCCAAGCAATTTCTCCAAATCCCTCATGTACAGCATTTGAATAAAAACTGTTAAAATGCAATGGATTATCCTGAAAAATATGAAACTTTTGCAAATCGACAAAACAGAAAACTTTATTATTTGCTACCAAAGTTGAAGCAGCCGGATTTACTGAAAAATATCAAAAAACTGACCCCGCATGCAGAAAAAGTGGTATAAACAGGCGATACCACTGATCTGGTTGATTTTTTCGCAAAAATGGGAGCATTCCGCATATTTCGCTCAAACATGAAACCTGCAACAAATCTATGGCAACGGTAGTTTTTATCAACAGTTCAAATTCTACAACAATGATAACTAGATTGAAACCATCGACGATCGAAAAAATTAAGGTACTGAAAAGGTAAAACTGTTTGTTACAACTACTAGTTATTTGTTTAAAACTAACTGCTGATATCTTTCATCATAATTCGCGAAAATGAACATAAAAAACATACAGTGAAAGACTTATTTTAAAAACTGCGTGATTAATTAATACCAAGCAGTGTTTTGATTCGGTTGATATACTATACTATCAGCACTTTTTTCAGCACTTATTAACACTTTTAATCACTACTACCAACCTACATCTTTCGTCAAGGACATAACTACTAAGAGTTTATTCTTAGAATATGCCCAGAAAAACTACCATGAAACCGTGCTCCCAAGCTGGCCATCTAAAGAATAGTAGTCAGCAGTAATAGTAATGAAGGCAATATTACCTGTGAACAAAGTGTTGCGTTTTCATGGAAATATCCTTCCACAAAATCACAATAATCCCTTGTGGTTATACGACACTGTCCGTGCAACTGTATGCAGCAAGGTCGACCGGTAATTTCACACTGCATGTGCATCACATTTTCCGGTACAAAAAGTGTTACCTGTTTGCATACCTGTCGAAAACCGAATTTTCAAAATACACTGCTCGTTTGTTCAATAACTCCAATAACTATTTTCGTAAAAAAAAAAGAAAAAAAAAGAAAATAGAAAAAAAAGAATTGTTGGTATAATTTGCTGCCCCGTCATGCTATTCCTTAACTTCATCAATTTGCTATGCTTAAACATAAAAGAATGTAACAATAGTAATAAACTTACAGGCCAATGCGTCATATCATCCGGCCACTCATACGGCTTCACAGAAACTGGATCCTCGCAATATCTGCATCACTTTCCTCTGATTTTTGAAACATAGTTCAGTACCGATATCTGATTAAAAATAATCAAAAATTCATAAAGCATACCTCGGATCTTGACCACAAACGGCGCCAGACACACGGCCTTCTGGGCCCGGATTATCCTTCTTCCATCTTGCTAGTGTGGCTATCAATGACTAAAAGTTGGGGAAGGTGAATAATTTAGTAAAGTATTTTTCTCACTAAAATACTTTACTGACCAATTCTAGCGAAAAAGGACTTTAAATGGAAATTAAAAAACAATTATTAAGGATGAAAATTTCTAGAGCGATATAAAAGCATCATAATAGAAACGGGAGACACCAGTAGTGGAGAAAGATGTTTTAATAAAAATAACATAAACTTATCAAAGACCACAGTATCTGAAATAAACGTACGACAAAAAAGTGGCTGTAGAACAGACGGGAACTAAAAACTGTCCCCAGTCCGCGACAAATCTTAGTAAAATAAGGTCATCATATTATTCTCTGAGCGTTTTGATATAAACACAAAATTTAGTGGATGCAAAAAACTGTGAGAAATAACTAAACGTCTGTCCTCATAGCATGGAACACAATATAAATTGTAAAACATACTGGACAAGTACTCCGTCCAGTTTGAAAGCAACCAGTACCATCATTATAAATACAACAGCCAGTTTCATTTTCTTCCTTATGATCGGCTTCAATTTGCTCAAAAATTTTTGGGTCCTCACGCATACAAGGTGCAAATTTAGCACCCAGGTGTACCAAATCAGCCTCAAAATTCAACGAGCATTCCAATGTTCAACACATATTTTTTTACAAGATAATTTGTTAGTAGACCAAAAATAATTCGCTTCATAACTGCTGTTAAACCAACGGTGACAGCACGTTCAAATATGATATGCGACCGTATACGGTATCCCAGTAGTAGCTCGCGATAAAAGCGCCTAACTATTCCGTTCATTTTAAACTAATCTCAGTAAAATAAGATTATATTATTCTCTGAGCGTTTTGATATAAATATAAAGGGTGAAAAAGGTGCGCCACCAGTAAACTGGATTTATTTCAACTTGATAATAAGTCCCGTTATGTCTTGAAACAGCCCTTGCGATTCGCGTAAAAATTAGATCCAACTGGAATTCAACATTCAAACTGATTTCAAATTAAAAAAGGAGAAAAGAACTAAACGAAAAAACCAATTTATTAAATGAAGAATAAAAAGTTAACTTGAACTTACAAATTTTGGTCCAAACCAAATATTTTGCTGCATATAAATACTGACCCTTTTCAAGGTGACAGTGGTGTGCAGCACATCAGCTGTCCTTTCCGTAAGACCGAATCCCCAAGGGCCAACTCCATAAGTGTACAAACTGATTACAGTAACAAGTATTTGAACTGTCGTAATCCAATAGGTGAAAAAAGGTCTAAAAATAAAAGTGGGAAGAAACTTTTAATTCTCTAAAAGCGAATCATACTTTAGCTGATGTATTAACCCATTTCTCCCCACAGTCCTTAACCGTTTTGAAAACAAATTATTTGAAGCTGGCTTTAGGTTATCCTAATTAACTAAAATTTCCATTCATTTCAAATCATTCTGCTAACCACACGTACCTGCAATCAATATAAGCATCTTCATTCAGCTGATAAATATCCTTCCTATAGGTTCGCTGAAAATATTTTCGCCATATTCCAAAACCATTTCCAAAACGCCGACGATGTGGAACAGAATACTTCCTCGATTTCAGCTCACTGTGTATTGTCTGAAAATATAGCTTCACCATTTATATCAAATACAGTGCCTTTTTAGCCATAAAACGTGGATTTTTAATGGAGTCTCAATTATTGATAATGAATCCTCCGCTGAACACCCAACATGTTATTATTAACATAAGGATGAAGGAACTTTTAAATGTTTTAACATGTGAAGCGAAGTATACTGCCTAAATTTTTATAATTTTCCAATAGAAGATGCAGACACTGTTGATGAAACGGCATTCAACTAAATGAACTCACATCTAACAGTAACCTCTTGCGCACACTTCTGCACGTTTCTGCAGTTCTTTTGGTTGTTCTCTCATCAACGTCTTGAACGTCTTGCAACCATTCCTAAAATAACTTGAAAACAATCTAACTCCGGAAATTTTTGGAAAGTCATAAAGTTCTACCACAGAAAGGAATTACCTTTGGGCTTGAAAGAGCATTGCGTAAGGACGCAAACGCTGTTGATTTCTCCTGAAAAATAATCAGCTTATTATGAAAGGAAATAAGGTAGGAACTATATAGTACTTAATTTAAGAAGATGCGACAAAATATCTTCCCGACCCTTCTCACCAACTTTTCAATTTTGGAAATAGATGCAAATTCTTCATGCAGGATGAAAATAAACAAATAGTTAAGATAAAGATATAGCGAGGGTTTTTTACTGCACTGTAAATAAATCAAACAGTTGTCCTGTAACGTTCTCTATTTATTAAACAACGGAAGTGATGGATAAGGAAACTGAAAACTGCAGCCCAACTGCATTACGTTTTATCACATCATATATTTTCGAGACTTTGTGATAGAATTTTAGATTTAAATTGAAACACTAATTAACGAATTAGATGCTATAACCTGATTGTTACAACCAAAATATAAAAAGACTATGAAAAAGTGATTTTCCTTAATTTCTACTTCCAGCAAATCTCTCGCTTTAGCTACCTTTTTGATTTGCATCTTTTCAAGATAAAGAAGGTTAACGGAAGAATAAAAACAAAGCGATTTAACAAGTGTGCCAAAAACATTCACAATCGAAATCAAAAAAAACTTCCATACTGTTATCGAAATACCGCTATTTTAAATGTCTGGCGCAATGTCTGATGCCACATTTGTTAGAAAGCAAACAAGCCGGAAAATAACCGAACGAAAAAAAAGAGGAAAAGAGCTAAGAAAGTAAGGAAAGAAATTCATCCTAGAAGAACTGAAATACAATATTGTGATGAAACAAAAATGATTCCAAGATTAAACTTGGTAGACAAAGAAAAAACTAGACCAGTCCAACGATGACTGAGGTCTACGTACGAAGACCTAATACGATCAGCAGCGTTAGAATCAAATAAATGTATAAGAGAATGCCTCAGGAAACAAAGAATATTTTTTGACTATTTAGTTGAATAAATTACATGCCTTACAAAAGTACCTGATCTGGAAACTCATTTCGGAATCATTTCAAAATTATTGAGAAATACTTTTTTCAGAAACCATTAAATAATTTCTTCGGTTACCTTGTTGGGTTTAAAAGCACACCTTTAAAAACCTCGGCAAAAAATCAATGCGGTTGCTTCGGAACAATAAAACTAATTATGCATATTACTTGGTTTTTGAGACGCTGCTTAATTGCATTAAACAAATCTTAGACTAAAGATTAGGCTTACATAAGTAGACTTTACAAAATTATTTCAAAACATAAGCAAAAAATCTCATCAAGCTGTTGCAATTAATTTTCTTTACCTTTTCCGAACCCTGTGGCTGCATTTTCTGCACTGGAGATCCATCATCACACAGATTTCCTATGTCGTCTTCCACTGGATCGTCCTCAGAACAAAACTTAAAGATAGCGAATAATGGAATTTTTAATAAACGTAACGAAAATACATATATTCAATAAAACTTTCAAAAATCGTAATTTGTATAGATGTCAAAAATCTATTTTGATTTTTTTTTAAAATTCGAAAAAGATTCAACAAGGTCTAAAAAGTCTCACAAAAGAAATAGTGCATAAATTTCAGATAGATGGATATCTGATTACGACTATTGAAGAGCTATCAAAATTTATTCAGAATATAATATGGCAGCATAGAGGAAAATTACCTTTTTATACTTTGTCACAGGTGAAAATTTCCCGCTACGCAATCCCTGACAATGATGCGTTCCTAAAGAATTCGTCCGTTCTTTTGAATAAAGAATGTAGAAAATTTTTTGAATTCTAATTTCAATTTGTTTCCGCTCATTTCTATACTATAATGTATTTTTTTGCAAAACCGCCGTAAGTCCAACAGAAACTATGCTTTATGTTAACAGTACATGCCGATTTATTGATCATAAAATATATTCTAATTTGCTTGTCTTTTCTTCTAAATTTTAGATCTACTCCAGATTTCAAATTCCTAATTCATAGGATAGTTTAAGTTAACAACCTATTTTTCCTTTATTTCCCACTTTGGTCCCACAAATCACTGTAAAAAAAATATATCTGTTCATAAAATATAAAGCTATACTCTTGACGATCAATTTCCTGTGCAAAGGATAAAGTGGATATGTAAATCTTCGAACAACTCCACTGCAGCAAATTCCTTATTAAACAACAGAGGAGCTTTATTAGTCATAATGCTGTACAAAACTAGCAATAATTTTGAACAAAACAAGGAAATTCCTTTTAAAAAAAAGATGCAAATAAAGCACCAGAATTATATGAGAGAAAACCAATAGAAATTAAAATATGCAAATCAAAAAATACCTTGCTCAGTATCAGATATATTGGGCGAAACTGTCGGCAATGCATAATCAAAGAATACTTCGTCTTGAATAGACTCTATACTTGAAAATGGTCCAGGACCCTTCAAATACCCTACAGTTATCAGAGAATGCTCATTCCTATTGAATTAATGAATTTGTACTTTTTTTCTCTCTATGTCTAATTTCTACTTTATAATATATTCCTAGTTTAAAATTTTGACTCGAAATTCAAAGCGAATCTTTCTGAAAATGTTCCGAAGTATGAACGCATTAAAATCCTGAAGCGTTTTCAACGTTAATGATTAATTTTTGCCTCCACCACTTTACCGCTTTAAGAATCGCAGCAAATTTTGCCTTTTTCTCCACCGTTTCATGGTCAATAACAGTTTGTACTTGAGCTTGCGATCTCACAACAGGAACTACAGATCCATCATATTTTGTTAGTTCTGAAGGAAGAAGAGGTTTTTTCTGACCAATAACTTCCCTTGGAAGTGTAAACTGTGCGGCAGCTTCTACCTCTGACGAAAAATGAATTGCTGAGCGATTCTGAAAATCAACTATCGTGGATCACTTCATTTGATTCGGAACAGATTGTGATCTATGTCAATCTAAATTGATATCGATACTTTTTGGATATTCTGGAAAAAACTAGAACTCTTTCAAGGTACTCACCTTTTTAAGTGAAGAAACATCAGTTTCTTTTCCGTCCAGCTTTTTAAGCTCACTCATAGTACCCATCACTTTAGGAGTTTCGAGACCCACTTTCACGACCGTAGTCATGCCCTTTCCTTAAAAATAAATATGACACATTATTGAAAAGCAGTAAAGTTAGAAAAATTTCGATGAACTGAAATATGAATTCCAACGACTTGAAAATCCCCGGTTAACTTGGGAAAAATTGAAATTTCGAAATAAATACACAGTTACTTCTAAAGAGTTCTAAGAAGTGATGGAAATTCTGAAATTATAATAAAAAGATTGCCTATTTTCAATGTCCCTATATGCAATATTGAAAACTGAAATAAAGTAATTAAAGACATGAAAATTCCTTCAACTCAAATTTCAGATAAACAACTGTGTGAACAAACCTCACATTAATGCTAGTGGAAACCGCGAAGCTTATAGAATCTTTTTGCAGGTTATACAAAATTGAACAGTACAGTTAATGTTCTGGAAAACTCAACCGGAGAAAATATTCTTACCAGCGGAAGTATCCACAGCCGGAGGTCCAATTCTCGAACTAGCAGTATTTACAGTTTGCTGAATTGAAAATGGCGCAAAACTGCTCGATACTGATCGACCACGTTTTACGGTAGCACAGGCCATTTTTGGTCTCAATGTCCCCCTTGAAGAAAGAAATAAATTGTTTGGTTTTCAAGATAAAAAATGGGAAACTATGAAAAAAATAAATGATACTATGACACAAATCATAGTTTTTAAGTCAACCCTGAATATTTTGTTATGCTGTTATGAATATCTATATCATCTCTAAGTTAAAAAATGAAGGATGATAGCTCCCATTAAATAGCATAACATATAGATGGGCCTGCACATACCAGTTCAGCAGCAATGCGACAATCAATAATGCATCGAATAAAAACAAAAGTTAAATCGCAACTACAAATAAGATTAAAAAATTGGGACTGTGACCTTTGTATCATCGAGGAAATCCCGTCACAAACCATTTTCATAACACTGTCACGTCGTTCCAGCTGTTGCTGAGTAAGTCGGCTTCCACGACTTTCTACTGATCTGCTTCTAGAAAATGTTCCCTGAAAATTGACCTTATGTGGGAAAAAAATTCCTGCAACTGAACAACAAAGTTAAGAAATGAATTTTTCTTGAGAAAGTATTGTCTGAAGTGTTGAAGAAGGATTTACGTCCATTACATTTTCATCTGTTATATTTTCTGCCCAGTGAATCCTACAATTTATAGCCCTTACAGTTCTTTCATCATATTATTACAAAACTTACAGCACGACCAATCTCAGATGCCATAAATACAGTCTCACGTATTTCGCTCTGTGATGTGACACTCTTTGATGGTGATGGAACATCGCTCTGATCATCCAGATCTGAAGCCATATTTGCATTTCATCATTCATAGCGTAATGATTTTGGAAGATATGAGTTCTAAAGCGAGTATTCAAATTCCGAAAGTTAAAAAGTCAATATTGGTCAGCACCAAACTGAAAAAACTGAAGTAATATTCAGAGAATATAGTTGTACACTGACTAAGTTATTTCTCGCTTCGATATTTGATTACAAGTAACTTTTTAACTGCAAAATGTGCTGCTTAAAAAAGGAAGAAACGCGTCATTCTTCTACTAATAAAACCGTTGTTAGGTTTACCAATTCGCAGATATTCACTCTAAGTATAAATACTCAAGTAACTACAATTAAAATTATTATAACATGCTTTGTGGCCTTAATCCTCTGACCAATGTATCTTCTTTCGGATTCCCATAATGTCTACAAATGAATCGCAGTCGGCGGTAGCTCCATTTCTGATCAACAGACATACTAACTGATGAATGACAACATTCTGATGGAGGAACTCCGAAAAACTTTGCTGTCCCATTCGAGATCGTGTCCCGAATACTAAAACCATTGAGTTATCTACCCAAAAAATATAATAAGCCTTTCACATTCAAAGTTTAATCGGAAGTTTGGATAACAAAATGTCCAAGATTTCTTATTATCTGTAAGAGATTCAGATATTTAGGAACTCTAAAGTACATTAGAATTTACCGTCGAGCTTATTACTTGAAGACAACTAAAATAGACATTTAAAATTTGGCATCCATGTAGCACATATGATGAAATTAATTTAATCTAAAAAGTAAAGGCCTAGACCAAATGCTGTAAAATATCCAAAGATTTGGACAAAATGCACACTGTTTCTTTTTAGTGTGACGGAAATTCATCTCGAAAGAGAAAGGTGACACAAATGGTAAAACAGGGAGAAAAGCCTCAGGGCTTAAAAGAATGCAAAAAACCGCCAAAAATATTCATCAAGCAAAATTTCAAAGATGCAGAAATTCAAAATGCAAAAATACAAAAGCTTACCTGTGTTCACGACTTAAAGGTGGATAACTTCCGGATTCCTTCAAAGAATTAGAACACGATGGAGGAAATTGTAGGTCCTGCAATTTATTTAAATATTACGGATAAAAAAGTAAATGAACTATTACTTAATAATTTATTTATCTGAAAATTATATTTTAAACTATGTAAATGTTATTGGCATCATTACTGATGATATCCCTCCAAAGGTGCATTGTATGAAATAAACTATGGCGACTGTTAAAGTCTAAGGCTTCGCCACCATAAAATCTATCATCTAGATTGTGCGCATTAAATTTAAATGTACATACCATTGGTGTGGGAACGAAGTAATCTGCTGGCGTGCTCAAACTCTTCATAAGCTTTTGCTGTGTTAGCCTTAGACCTATATTTGCACTTTCTGGTATGCCAACATCATCTCGTGTAGTAATATTTTTCAGAGGCAATGTAAGACGGGAACGATCTGGTCCGCCAGACATCCTTGTTCATTCGAAATCTTAAGATCGAAACTATTTTCAAAAATATTACTTCCTAATCAGATGACTGGAGTGATCTGGACAATTTATTTCATATATCAGATGTAAACGATATTAAAGAATGAATGATTCATGATCTCAGGAGAGAGAAGTTGACATAAAACCTCTGACAATCTCACAACCTCTGCAGCAAAAGTTCGAGGAAGAAAAAAAATAAAATTTCAACATTTTTCAATAAAATTTGTGACCAACAATATCAATTTTTTTCAATAATATTTTAACATCTAATTTGGGAAGTGAAACTGTGAACTTTTTTCTGGAATGATTGCATAAAGAGAGATTAGTTGGAGAAATGAAGGAAATTGTTGGACGGAATTTGCAAAAAAGTACGAGAAATGGAAAATGGATATGCAACGCCACACTTAGAAGGACAAGGTTGAGAAAAATATTAATCGAACGAAGATATCACTGCACTGAAATACCTGTTAAGATTATCATGAGACCTTCACTGTACCCCATGATAATCTTGACAGGTATTTCCAACGTCCTTCACGCTCGCTTCTATATGATGGTTCGTCCTACCCACAACCCACAACTCGTCGATGGCCCGTTATATCCTGCATAACCATGTCTTCGATTTTATTTGAGTGCGAGCTTGTTGTGAATGTTGTTTTCTCTCCAAATTTTGTTTGTTATCTTGTTTTTTCGTGTTACTTTTATTTTCTTTCTTACTGTCAACTATAATCAAAACTGTTATTACCATTACCATTGTCATCACGTCCTTTCTATTACATTGTCGCTGTTATCATTGCAGACTTTCACTATCGCATACTTTTATTATGCATCCCTTTTGCGATCGTTATTTAGTACAGTGGATTAAAAAGAGGTCCCAATGCACTGATCA